ACCAATGATTTTCGAACAACATTCAAAAAAACAGTGTATAAAACTCGTTTATCATTTCTATGAAGTTTTTATATCAAGTAAGAGAATTCACTTCAAAAACAACAAAACTCCATACTACTCAATCGAACGAACAGATAATTTTATTTGTTCAGCATTAGAATACGAGAAAATAATCATTGAAATTATAGATTTCATGTTCGTCTATCTAAGAGACATCAAAATTAAAATTTCGTCGGCATGACTGATAATTTTCATATATTTTTTTAATGTTTTTCGAAAATCATTGATTTTGTTCTATTTAAATATCGAAGTACAAACCGTCCCCATGTCTTTTATTTCGATTGCTGAAAATCGTAGACCACTAGCTGCATGTATTCTCGATTTACTCAATATTTAATCGAATACGTTCAAGTTTCGCGTCGAGATGAGTAGTTAATTATAATTCATCTGTCAACGCTTGAAGGAGTCTTTAATCGAAATAATATATGCGATTCATAAAAGTCAAGTACTGAATAAGATATTCAACTTATTTAGAAATAAAATATCAACTTTATGAGAAATATTTGCGAATCAAATTTATAACATGATTTGTCCTTCGTCTTTAAACAAATATCAACAATTCATGTATTATTTTTTACAAATATTCATGTCATTTTTGCATTCTATGAATTTGACAGAACTTTATTCTAATTATCATTTTTCATACATAAATCAAGTTTATGTATACAAAAAGGAAAAAGAACAGTTTTGTTTTTTATTATTCTTTTTCAATTTGTCAGATTGTTTTCTGATTGTACGCGCCTACCTTCGTGCCAATATTATCTTGTTGTTTCCTTTTTTTTTATATTGTACGGTAGGTCTAATGTTGAATGTTGATGATATATATTTGTATTTATTCGTAATAATAAAATTTTTTCACACAACCAGTTACTACCTTTTATTATACCTGATCGAACAACAGTACATAAACGCGTACCTCGACACAGAACAGCAGTATAATGTTTGTAGTCGTGTTGGCAATAGCGATAAATGAAGTTTTCACCACACCTAGACTACCTATTCTTCGTTCTTACTATTCACTTTCTTTTTCGACCTGTTTTTTTTTGTGCTAGTTCATTCTTTCCTTTTAGCCGACAAAACGAAAAAAAAGAAAAAAAGTGAGAAGAGAGAATTTTCGTCCTTATGTCAGAAAAAAATGCGTAGACAAATAAAAAAAAAACCATTTGATCATATTCATCGAACAAAGGGGTTTGATAATCTGATCATTGAAAGAAAAAACATTGTTGACGATGTCAATACACACAAGGATATTTATCTATGATTTTTTTTTCTCTCTCACTCACCTGTGTTTCTTTTTATAACCTTCTTTCTGTACGCATTCACATTTCAGATTTGATCCAGATGATTTCTGATCAAAATTTGATAGATTAAAAACCTCTGACAAATTGAGGCATAGGTAAGTGCAGGAAAAAAAATATGCTAACTGATATTTCATGCATAGACAAAATACGAAATTCGATTTATTTTTATCAGATTCTTCTAGCAAAAGTTCGAACATTTTGCATTTTAAACATTTACACATTAACTTATCAGTACGTGAAATATATTCATCATTGACTTCCACACATATGCATATACAAGCATGATGCAATCATGTTTCTACTATTTCAATACTGACCTTTTCTCTATCAGTCATATTACCAAATCAATTATCATTGAAAAAAACTATTAAAAAAATTGGTGATGATTGTTATATCAAACAAAAAAGGAATATTTTGGCATTTGAAGACGTGATATGTTTTTCGTTGTGAATATAAATCATTTGAAAAAGGGTATTGCATCGTTTTTCTTTCATCAAACGATATGAAAGCACCTGTTCGAAACATTCAATTAAATCCAAACTACAGCTATCATCGAATATGTAAATGATCTTTATCCATATCCATATGCATTGCAAAATAAATAAATAAGGAAATATAAGCTTTCGATAATTTTTGAACTAGAGCAACAAAATATGATTATTTGTTTTTATAATACATACTAGAGTAAAAAATCAAATGGTTGACTTAATGAATTTCACTGACATTGATCACATTTTACATTCATTTATTTTTGATTGCACAACACTTTTTTTACGCATTTTTGGAAAGAACCTTTAGTATTTTTCAATTCAATAATTACCACATCAATAAGTGTGTACACAATACTAAATGCACCAAAAAAGGCAGCATAAATTCATAAAAGAAAAAGTAATTGCCAATCATTTCGTTATACATGGCATAAAAAGGCATACATAAAAATTTTATATACAACAAATAAGACGAATATAAATTTTATCCGTAGTAAAAAATAAGAGTTAAGGCTTATAATTATGGATTTTTCTACACAAATTTTTATACTTTAATATCATTTTGCGATATACTCAGTTAACTTGTTATAAAGCATGATAGAGTAATAAAAAAAAACTTCGTTAATCTATTCTACTCTATTGGTTATTGATAATTAACATTGTACAATAAAAAAAAATGAGTATATGATTGGACACATTATTATTCATAGATTGATGATAAGAAAAAAAATCAAAGTTCTATGTCAGATTGTAGAAATCGATATATTGCATCCTTAATTGTCTTTATAATAGGGTGCTATATCATTTCGAAAATTGATTTATACTGTGTTAATATAATAAAATAATTTACTTGGTTTTCTAAACTTTACTTTTTAGGAATATATAAATGATGTAAGTAAAACAGAAGTAAGCTGTTAAAAACTATATGGTTATGAACTACGTCATTCGTGAGTTCACTAGTTTATCACTATGTACTTAAAGTCTTCTAGGTATCACATGAAAACTAACACAGATCAAGACAAAAGTTGCTTGCATTACTTTCAAAGCAACTGAAGAGATGCCAATTTGTAGATGAATTTGTCATTGTTGATTCTCTTGTGTCCATCAATGTTGTTTACAGTACATCAAATCAGAATCAAAAACAAGTATTGAATGATTAAAGTATAAAATAATAGATAGGAAAATATATACTTCTCGGAATGTTTTTTTTCCTTGTTCAATGTGTTTGTTTTTCTTATTGCCATATACATACACTATAGCAGATTGCGGGACTTCAAAAAGTCCTAATACACTCAAGTTTTTTCTGTAGTTCTCAAGTCTCTATTATTATTCAAATTTTTTGCTTGCTCATAATCTTCTACTATAAACAAGGAATAATTATGATATCGATCAAAAGTGATGTTAATATTCTCATAAATAATACATAAGTAATTTAATAATCTTGTGCTCAAAGAGAAAAAGAGTTATTTTGTTACTATCAACATCTTATATATGTGATTAATAATCAATAGTATAATGTAAAAAGGAGGTCAACGAAAACATTAATATAAAAAAACAGATAACTACTCGATAGTTAAAGTATTTCAGAAAAGAAAAATGGATTAGTTTCCTAGACGATAGCGACTTGTTAAACAAAAAGATGTTTCTGAATGATATACGATCAAAGAAGCAACACAAGAAGCACGAAACATGACTGTACTCTTGTATATAAACCTTATTTTGTTCTCAGTTGTTTGCTGCTTTTCATGTATCAATTAAAGATTCTATTACATTAATATTTCTTTTTGATTGTTTTGTCGTTGCTAATGATGAATTATGATCAGGGTCTGCTTGCAGCGTGGCTACTTTATGTCTATTATAGTTCATATGGATATCAAATTTAAGACATTCAACATGATGCAAACCAGAATTTCAATCGGTAGTACATTTTCCATATCGGCATAGGTTTAAATCGGTCAGACCGGTTTGAACCATTCGATAGACTAGCGTGAATTATTTTTCACTTTTTTTGACCATATAAAAGTTAAATCAAATATTCTATTAGTCATATCTGTTTCATAATCACCACAGTATAATGCCGTAAGAGTCCTGGTTCACAACGATACAGTTCTCACTATATATTTTCATATTGAAGAACAGAAAACTTCATAGAACTATAAGTTCTAGATAAGTTTTATGTACTGATTAAATATTCATTAGATATGAGCATTAATAATTAAATGTATACTTGATTTACTTCCCACGTTAAATTTACTCCGCTATTTCTTATATCTATGTGAGGCATATTAGATAAGTGATGGAAAATACAAATAAATCTATGATAATTACAATGTTCAATAATTATTCGGTTTTGTTTCGATAACATCACTTAACATCAATCTGAATTCACACAATATATTCAGTGTGTTATGATGAATTTTTATTTAATAGAAAATTCTGATATATGCCCCATTACAGAAAAAGTCTTCAACGTGTCAGTGAAAAGTGTTTGATTGGCGAAAAAAGAAAGAAAAACTTGTGTTTAGTAGCTGACAAGAAAACCTCCATCTAATCAGATCAAACTGACAGCATACTGTTACGGGTTATAACACTGACGCAAACAAGACAAAATAATAAAAGGAAGTGTTTTATAACTAAACCAACATATATCTCACCGCGCATGAATGCACATAATTTATTATATTCAATTTTACTTGTCAAATAGAAACAATTATCATCATATGCATTGAATATTCATATTTTCAGTTCACAAGCTTGTACATCAATTTTCAGAAAATCTCATTACTGAATAATACTAAATGTGAACAATTATACGATGAATCAGTTGACAATTTGATCTTTCTGGTAGTGGCGTAACCAAGGTAGGGCGAAAGCGGGCTCAGCCCGCTCACCGAATCTCCTCGCCCGCTCACCGGTAATTTCTGATTTCTAAGACATAATTTTTTTAATAAAAACATCTGATTGATCGGTCGAGTGAATACATCTTAAACATGAATTCTTCTTCGAAATAGAGAGACACCTATTGTGACAAGAGTAACTGGTAGATTTTATTTCACGAACGATTTTTTTTCTTATGATCTTACAAATGAGCTGCACTAACAATCACCAACAATCTCTTGATCCTCATACAAATAGATAAAATTTCTGGTAAATGTCGTCAGATAATAAAGAACCCAAACGTGGTTCGATTCAATCGTTTTTTCGTTCGTCTTTCAAAAAAAAGAAGATTGACATTTCCACTGCTGTTGATCAATCTTCACAAACACATCAACCAGATGAAACAACTACTTGCTCATCAGATACAACTTCGAAATCATTATCATCAGCTTCACAAGCAGTTTCTTTATCATCATTCATAGCTTCGCCTTCACCACCACCTTTACCAATTGAAACTTTACCACCATTATCTGTATCATTTATATCTTCACCAACACATTATTCATCATCAACATCTTCACCAACAAAATGTTCATCCACAATCTCACCATCACGATGTTCATCATCCATGTCTTCACCAAAACAACGTTCACCATCAATATCTTTATCACCATTATCTCTATCACCAATAGCTGCAGCAGCTGTGGAAAATTCTTCTATTGCATTAGACATTAGCCGCTCTTCAAAAGAATTACCAACACAACCAAAATTATCTTCATATCCAGTGAATAAACAGAATCGATCATTTCGCTCCATTTGGTATTCAACTTTTCCATGGCTGGAGTATTCAGTAAAGCAAGATTTAGCTTTTTGCCACTATTGTCGTCATTTTAGCGCTGGTTTTAATTTATTGAATCGAGTAAGTAAAATATTATTACTCCGTAAACAACTCCGTTTGCAGATGAGTTGGTTTTTTTATAATCTATTTTTTTATTAGTAATTTTTAAAAAATATCTATTTTTTATCGTTAATTTAGCAACAGAGTGACGCATTTATAACTGGTTATAATAACTGGAAAAACGCTATGGCAAAGAGCTATGGTTTTTCTAGACATGAAACAAGTGCATCACATAAATTTGCGTGTGCAAATTATCAACAATTTATTTTACGAAAAAGTACTGAAACAACTGTTATAAATGTTATTGATAAAGGACGTATTGAATTAATTAGAAAAAATCGTCAACGTCTTACAAAAATTGCATCAACGGTACTTTTATGCTCACGTCAACTAATTTCGTTGCGTGGTAATGATGAAAGTGATCTGTCAGTTGATCAAGATGAATTTCACTTTCTCAGTATCTAATTTTCTTTTAATTAGGTCTAATAATCGTGGAAACTTCATTGAAATATTAAAGTGGTCTTCTGCAACTGATCCATTAGTTAATTCAATACTTCTTGATAGTGCTGATAATGCTTCATATCTGTCTCCTTCAATTCAGAATGAACTTATACATTTAATGGCAAACCAAATACGAAAACAAATAGCTGAAAAAGTGAATTCTTTTAAATATGAGTTTAATTTATTCGACTATTAATATTTTCAATATCTTTTAAAGGTTGGTGGACATGTTTTTTCACTTATGGCAGATGAAGCAAAAGACCGTAGTGGGCATGAACAATTGAGTATTGTTTTAAGATGTATTTCACATGAAACATGGAAAAATAATGACAAAATTGATCGTAATTCAATTTTCAAAGAATATCTTTTGGGATTAGTGAAATTGAATGAATTTGATGCTGAAAGTTTGAGTATTGAAATAATTAAATACTTGTCATTCTTTAAAATTGATATAAATAACTGTATCGCGATCTGTTTTGATGGGTAAAATATTATTTTTCTATTAATTTCATCTTCATTATTTTTCATCCTTCTTGTAGGGCATCTGTGATGAGTGGAAGACACTCAGGTGTTCAAGCTATTCTACGTAAGAATTATATGACTAGAGCAATATACATACATTGTTTCGTGCATAAATTAAATCTTGTAATTCGTGATGTATCTAAAGTTGTTCCGTATTTGCCAGAATTTTATTCTATTGTCTCAAAAATTTACACTTACTTCCATTCATCCAGTGTTACTAGTGAATGTTTTAAAAGCATTCAACAACAATTGTTGATAGGTCAGATTAATTATCCTCAACAAAATATGCGTTCATGTAGATTTTTTTTCATTAATAGAAAACAACAATCCTACCTCACTAAAGCAATGGTGTGACACACGTTGGGATAGCAGATGGTCCTCAATCAATGCATTAATTCAAAATTATAAAGCTCTCATAATTTCTCTAGAAGAATTAGAAAATGAAGGTGATGAAAGATCAGTTGATGCACGTGGTTTATTAGTAGCACTTCGAGTACCAACATTCACTATCACTCTTTTTATTATTCACAAGATATTTGGTATTATTAAAATACTTTCTGATCAACTTAAAGGTTAGAATCCAATATAGAACAGTTGTTTGAGTATTGTGTAAACTATTGTTGTTTTTACTTTTTTTTATAGCTAAAACCATGGATTTTTGTCAAGCTCAATATTTAATAAAATCGATTATTGCTAAAATAGCTGATCTTCGTGATGAACATACATTTTCTCTTATATATACAGAAATTACAAGTTTTTGTCAAGCACATCATATTGATCTTTCATCAACACCAAGACAGAGAAGAGTTAAAGAAGTATCATCAAGATTTAAAGATGTCTTTATTACTAGTACTATCGGTCAACGTGACAATTTGAACAATGAAGATAATTATCGAATAGATCTCTTTTATCCAATAGTTGATGCTGTATTAATAGAGCTGAATGATCGTTTTTCTGTTCATAACATGGAAATTTTAATTAGTATATCAGCACTTTGTCCCGATAGCGAAAATTTTTTGCAAAGTGAAATATTAAAACCATTTGCAGTGGAAATGAAAGCTGATATTTGCTCATTATGCAATGAAATTGAAGTTGTTAAATCCATGTTGAAAGATTCAAAATTAGAAAATATTGTTGACCTCTATTATCAACTATTACCACTCAAGCAGGCATTTCCAACAATCATATCTCTTATCATCATTGCTATGACTATACCTGTTTCATCTACTACGTGTGAGCGCACATTTAGCAAGATGAAATTAATAAAAACAACTACACGCAACACGATGTCAGATAAACGATTGAATGATTTATGTGTGTTAGCAGTGGAACGTGACTTTGCCATTGATTTCGAAAAGCTCATGGATGATTTTGCTGATTTACATAAAAATTGTAGAATTTTGCTAAAATGAAGTCTTGTAACATTTTGGATATTTTTTACTCAATAAATAAAAAAATAAATTTTAAAACAAATTTTTTAAGGTGAATGAACTAGTACATTTTTGTTATACAAAAAAGAAATATATCATGAGCACTTCAAGTAATCTTATAAAAACGGGTAGGGCGGCGCCCGCCCACCGAACGATTTCTGGTTACGCCACTACTTTCTGGTTCATTAGAAGCATCGAAATGATCGCTCATCATCATCATCACAAACTCAAAATCAGATTGATCAAATATATATTGAATAAGTTATCACCGATGCATATGATAAAGCTATTCATATGCTTGATGGCTTAGAAATATTGAATTTTTTACAAAAACAACGTGTTCTTGGTTTAGCACCATTAAGTGAATACATGTTTGAACAATTAAATAAAAAGTCAAATATGTATAACTACTCATCTCTAGTAGTCAATAGGGACGATGCAGACTTTGAAAAGTTTACGGATGATGATGATGACGAAGCAATAAATAACTTCAACAATGATGTTGGCAATAATAATAGTCTTTTCTCGAACAATGATCACACTGATGAAGACGAACAAGATGCTACTCAAGAGTTCATTAGCTCTACATAAAAAAGACATTTTTTTTTGGAGTAAAAGTCTTCGATACAATCGAACCTAACATGCAATATTCTTATGTTCAAGTTATAATTAATTATAATAAAAAATATTTACATAAGAAGTCTGCTTGCTGCTATTATTATGCATAAAGAAGAAACTTTTTCAAATGACAAATTACGTTGAGTAATACAGATTAATAAAAAAGGAATAAACGAATGTCTTTTTCTTTTTTGTGATATTTTATTTGTTTTGATTTTTCAATAAACGGTATTCAATTTAATTTTATCTATTCCATCTAATATCACGATGGATGGAAAAAATCAAGACACAACAATTTTTTATTTTTATGATGGACTTTCCAGAAGCTACTTTGAAATACCTGAGACTTCGGAGTACTCCGAGGGATTACAAGAAACTTCTAAAGATTGTAATCAGCTATTTCCCCTTTGACAATAAATATTGTCTTCCATTTTTTATATATCCTAACGATTGATCACTTCATTTCTATAAAACCCAACAAGTTGAATAATTAAAATGTAGATTATTTTTATTCATGATGAGATGTTGATTATCGTAGTACAATAATCATTTATTCAAGCAAGACATCAATAAATTCGTCAGATTATTATGTTATACACAAATATATTATATATGATGATAATATATTTACAATTAATGAAATGAATTTATTTAGAAGGTTATAATCTTTTATTATTTATTCATAGAATGATAGTAATCAATTTGAATAAGACTATTGCGAAAAGTTTTATTATTATAGCATAAAAACCGAGCAGAATGTAAGTAACAAAATAAGTACTCCAACAACATCAAATTAATCAATAATGAATCATAATTTTTATTTGATATTTGGAAAATTTATAAGATACATATTGTTGTCAGTAATTGAATCAATAGGTTTTATTATAATAAGTCTTTAATGGCGAGATAACGAGACATTAAAGACGATTCATGTAGGCTCGACTTGTCTTTTTATTTTAATTATCTTTCTATTATTTCAATTTAGCGCTCGTTTCTTATTTATGTTCATTATCATGCGTAGCTAATTTGTTATTTCATTATTATCTTCTCGTGCTTTAATTCAATGACAAGCTATTCATATAATCCTGCTTAATTTGTTAAAACTTCAACATTTATTCAAGTTAAACTTTTCAATACCCGCCCACCCACTTCCCATTATAATAGTATATAGCTGATCCTAAATAGTTTATCCAGAACAAAGGTGAATTTAGCATACTAAGTAAATTAGTTGTATCTAGTGATACCAGAGCCGAGAAGGCAATCCAATCGTGTCAAGTGACACTAGAGCCGAAAAGGCAAATTCCTTGTGTTGGACGTCTTGGCATTCAACTTGTAGAGTTGATTAAGCTGTACTTGTGACCCAACGGCCTGGAGCCATGGCACATACAGCTGGCCAATTTCTTTCCGTTTACATTTAAGCTGAAGTGCGTGACCCAATCGGCGATTCGCCACGGCACGTCCAGCACAAAGGTTTTTATTTTAGGCTGGACGCTGCTGTGACTCTTCATTTATGCTATGTTAGTACTGCCGGTGAACATTTACTTTATTATGCTACCATCGTGCTAATTTATTATCTCAACTTCCAACGGCGTTTTTAAGTGCCCAAAAATGACTATAAAGAATATCTTTAACTTTATTGTATTGTATTTAATTGTTTTGTTTTGTCACTTTGTATTTTGGCAATAAATATATATATGCCCAACTCGCCACTATATAATAACAGTCTTCTCATAGAGAGATCGACATGAATTAGAAATAAAAAGAAATGAGATTTCTATTATAAACCATTTCTAATCAATCATTTTTGCTATGTGAATGAATCTCTAAGAACCTCTATCATGATTTATATTAGATACTCAGCAAAATCATGAACATATCAAATAGTATTCATAGGAGAATATGTATTAAATGGACTGCTATTTATTTGTTTCTTTAGGCCAAAAAACTACCTAATTACACATCATTGATTTGACCAAAACTTAATATTTAAAAAAACCAGCTGTAAATTATATTTTAATTGCTTGTATATATACTTGAATCAATTGGTCAAATGTTTATTATTGTTATCCTAGATGATTATATAAACACTAGGAATAAATTAGGCAGTATAGAAATGACTTTTTTGGATAACTCAACAAGCATCATTGCAACTTTATCGATATGGTAAATAATTTTGAATTTAAATTAAAAAATGAATTACGATCATTGAAACATTCTATATCGCCTACATGTGAATTTAATTGTCTACAGAAGATAAAAGATGACTAACTATTGAATATTCATGGTACTTTGAATCCAACAATAAACAGAAAATCTTTCTAAACAAGAGAACCAATTCTATACGGTCATATTTCATACTGATAATAGTACGATGAACACCATCATAGAAATATATGAATACGGTATTTTACCATACCAACTATCAACAAATATTGATTAGTAGTTTAACTTTAGATATCTTATCTTTATGTTTTGTTCAATATGAACTAAATATAAAAGTATTTTGTTTATAGTGTGATGTTCTATGATGTAAAGAATTAAATTTTGTCAATATTGTATTTTCGAAACGTTTTTCTTCAAAATCTTTTGCTATTGCACGAAGCAAATAAAACTTTTTACTTTCACTTTCAAACTAAACAAAGATGAGTCTATCATTTGGTTTTGCTTCATAAGTTGGATACAATAAGATCTTTCATGCTAATAAGTTGTAAAAAAAAGGATTTCAAGTACAAAGCTAATTTTTTTTAGTGACATGAAACTCATCTAATTAACAATTTCAAAACAATGGATCAATGGCACATACACACATCGTAGTCTTTCAAATGATTCGATTTTTCACTCTTATTCAATTGGCAATACTATTTTGATACAATTATTTCTTTATCATTAAGGGTACCCCCTCTTTCGAGGGTTTCTGAAGAACAGTTCATCAGAAAAATGAAACTTTTAAGACAGTTAGATCTTGATATGTAGAGCAAAAGTTGTCATAGACTCAAAGTTTCCGAATACTGTCTTCTATGAGATATTTAGATCACAATAGCAAAAACTGGTGCCACTTTTCGCTCCCGTTTCTACAAGATGCTACGTTCGATCAAGCTAAAACATTTTTTGACGGATACTAGACACTGTTTGGGGTGGATATCTTTTTGGTTTAACTTTATCTGTTGTTCTTCGAAAAAAAAAGTTAAAATATCCAAGAGATCATAAAAGCTGCATGTTTTTTTTGGAGAGTGCTTTTTTGTAAAAGCTGCAAAAAGTCAACATATTGATATTTTTTGAAACAAAAAACAATATCCACCTCAAACAGTGTCTAGTATATGTGAAAAAAATTCCAGATCAATTGTAATTACTACTAGAAGAGAAACGGGAGCGAAACAGTACTTTTTCCAAGGGGAAAACAGCGGACTTGAAGTACAAAAGTACGTCAAAGTACACTACTTCAAGTAGCACAAAGTTAGAACAAGTAAATTGAGATAACTTCAAGTAAATGCGAAGTTGAAAAGTATGCGAAAGTAAACTACTTCAAGTAGCTTAAAGCACTTTGAAGTAAGTCGAAGTAGCTTAAAGTAGTTCAAGTAATTTCAAGTACAAAAGTCCGCTGTTTCCCTCTTGACTTTTTCTCTTAAATATTTGACTTTGAGGAAAACACGAAACAATTTAGAAGTTTTGCTATTTTCGTCATGTAGACTTCATTTCTTCTTCAAGGTTTTATAGCTTAACGACAATATTCGAGTCCCACAATGTAGTCAGTAGATAGACACCACTTGGTACTATAAAATGCCACAAAAAGCCAAAAACCAAGAAATCAAAAATTTTGAGTCAGGCAAGGGGGATACCCTTAAACAAAACTTTGGATCACTTTCGATTTTCTTATATACAGGCTGTATAATAATGAGTTTTGATCCCTTCTAAGGAATGCGCTTTTCTTACGTGTTTTTCAATAGAATGTGCTGATATTTACAGCATATATACTAGACACCTAGATCTACTCTACTGTAGAGTTTGAGCCTTATGTCTCTAATAGTTACAGAGATACAAGTGACAAAATATTTACAGAAAATTTTAAAAATTTTTTTACAAACAGTACAGATGAAAGAATTGTAATTATTCGATCCATCTTTCATAACGAATAAGATTTTTCCTCTGTGTATCATTCGTGCGTTCTGTCATTTGTTCTCATGATTTTCGGCGAAGAAAAATTGTACAATCTGTTTTTGACTGGTGGTCGTAACGTGCAGAAACAGTAACATTTGTGAACGAGTTACATGATCAGATAAATTGTCTCTTAGTGATCACGTGAATTGATAGATGTTTACTGTTTTTCCTCATTATTATTTTAACATTTTTTAATCAAGTTATTTTTT